TATATATATTCACACATTCACAACTTTGCAAATATTGATGATTCCACTTGAAATTTCAAATCATTTTGAACTTTGTGAAACTTGCTTTGTTTATATCTTCACTTTTACTCTACAAGTATCACCGTTAGACATCTTTGAGTTTTAGAAAAAACAAGAATACTAAATCAGTTATTTACAATAAATCATAGGCTTGTCTTTCTTGTCAATCGCGACAAGAGTGGGTTGCTCTAGTGGTGAGCACCCTCCACTTCCAACCAATAGGTTGTGAGTTCGAGTCACCCCAAGAGCAAGATGGGGAGTTCTTGGAGGGAGGGATACCGAGGGTCTATCTGAAGCAGCCTCTCTACCCATGGTAAAGGTAAGATCTATGTACACACTACACTGGTGGGATTATACCGGATTGTTGTTGTTGTTGCTGTTGTTGGCCAATGCTTAAATGGATCGTAGAAAGATAAACCTTCAGGAAGTTGGATTTGCATGGTGTTGTTTTGGAAACATTTGAGGGAAAGGGGTACTTCCGTTAGCCAAAAAACAGCCTAGATGTTGGTTTTTCAATACATGTTGTTCANATCTGCGTACACACTGCCCTCCCCAATTTAGAATCTTTTAGGACTTTTATTAGCTTATAATGTTAATCTATGGGCTGATAGGATACAAGAAATTTTTTTAAAGTGACTTTTTCTTTTTGGTGGCTTGATTTTCAAACATAGATGACTTTGTTCAAGACTTACAGTCAAAGTAGATGCCTTGATTTTCTTTAAACAATCAAAGCTGCGTCACAGCAGAAAACTTACATTAGCAAAAATGGAGGCATAAAGTTAGAAGTCTTCATTGTTCTATGAACCTAAAATATTCAAGATATGTTGCCAAGAAATGAGCAAAAGTTATTCATGTGCAAATTATTCTGAAAATTCTCTCGCTTCACTCTTTTTTTTTTCAAATTAAACAAAAGTGTACTAAAATAACATAATAATAATTTTCTTTTTTAAGGCAAAGTACTAAAATAACGCAAAGACAAGAAAATAAGCCATTTTTGTTGTAAATGTGCAGAGTACCAAAATAACTTACATTAAAATTTCATTCAAGGTTTCATTACAACCAACAAGTTAGACTATGTACAAGCTATTTCCATAGCTATCAAAATGATGTTACCTGTTGCAACCTTCTTCTTCATACTAACATGAAAACATAAACCAACAGGTCAACTTCTAGCTGCCTCTCATGGCTAGTACAACAAAATTTTAGTACTTATTGCTATAACACCAAACTATCAACCTTAGATCTGCCATTTCATGGCCTATTTACACACAAAAAAAACTTCACCTATCAGCATGTCAAAGTACTCCATTCTATCATCCAACAAAAAAGCATTAAAGAAAGTTTTTTTTTCTTTCTAAAGTTATGTTGAAAAAAACTTTCTTCTTCCCGTGAACAAAATCACAAACATCCACCAACCAATTTCTCCAAACAAGTAAAGTGGAACCAGTCAACAACCCCAAAATTATTATAGAGAAAAAATCACTAGAAAATTACCATCTCCCACACCTAAACTGTTCATTCTCCTGAATGAACAAAGCTTAGTTCTTAATTTTCATGACCATTACCTTGAAAGAGATCAAGTTATGTACTGACATCAAAGTCATTTACTTGTTGAATATGAACCGACGAACCGTCAGTAGTAGCTACTCCATGGTTAGCTTCCAGATTAGAAAAAACAGAGAGGCTGACTGCTAAATGCCACCGGACCTGGTGTAGATCAACTTCCCCTGTTTAAATCCATCATTGTTGTGGGAAGTGGTGTTGGTACAAATACAGATGGTCCCTGATAGAAATTTGCACCTGCAACATTAAAGCTACCACCACCTGGAGCTGTAAAATGAGGCAAAAAACTAGGAATATCAGAACTTTTCATAATGTTAGCAATATTGCACATCACAGTTGCTATTGTGTAGATTATGGGAGAGGTATATGCAAATTGATTTTGCAAAGTTTGGCATATGAGATTTTGAGTATTTCTAGCTTATGTTAATTCTTTCATGATATGTTCAACATGTGCTGACAATACTGCTTCACACACTGCTTTTTCACTTCTGAAAATCTCCCAACTGTTCATCAATTCAGTCTGCCTTCCTAACAATTCTTGCATACTAGCCAGAATATCGGGGACGGGGATAGTTGGGGTGGTTCCAACTTCTGAATTAAGAGGTTGTGCTGGCTCATTCTCTGCTTGGTCTCCATTGCCAACAAGCCTTTGTTCCTGTTCAATTTGGGTTGGACCAGTAGGAGGCCTCAAACTATGGAGAAGGTCGTTACCGATAAAGCATGAATTTTCAGTCTTTGGTAAACCACTCAAATCCACATCAACAAAGAAACCAAACGAGTGATAGTTGAAGGAAAATACAAGCATTCACAATCCGGCTTGATCCGACAATTAACCATAGCATCGCTAACCAATCTCCCCACATTCACAGGCAATTCATGCATAATCGCATGTATCAAAAGAACTCTTTCTATATTGTAGTTCGAGGTATTCAAATATGGGATCACGCCAGAACTGACGAATCTACCCCAAGCTCTTGCTAATTCAATCATACATGAACAATTAATACTCAAAGGGCGTTCAGCAGTTCCCGAGTAAACTTTAAAGCCATTAGGACACAACTCGCCCAACACATGTCTTACAAAATCTACATCCCGATCATCCATAAATTTCTTGGTTTCACTATCATCAATGTTTCTCAAGTTAAAAATATCATTTATAAATTCAGCATCAAAGTGAATGATTTTACCTCTCACTGTTGAAGTACGACTTACTGGATTAAGATTGCTGTAGAAGTCCAGAACTATGTCTCGATTGTAATCTCCTGGGCACTGAACAAAAGACCTCCAACCAAAAGCAGCAACAATTTGTAAGATTTATTGTGCCTTTAAACCATTAGAAGGGAAAAGCATCATCTCATATTCTTCAACCACTGTTCGATTTGCCGCTCTAAGTCTCCATGATGCCGGGTCAAGGATTTCCCTTCTAGAGTTATTGAAACTATTTGAAAGAGTTAATTGTGCAAGATTCTTTTCAAGTGAAAATCAAGTGTCTAACCAGATGGGTGTATTTGGAAAATTGAACAGAGAAGAAACAAAAGGGTCCAAAGATAGTGAAAGTAGTTGAAGATAAGAAAAAGAGAAGAAATATTTTTTATTTTATTTTATTAGGTGATAGTCATGGCTAAGAAATAACAGAGAAGGGTGGTGGATACTGTACAATGGTGGTTGGGGCTGAAGCAAGAGAAACGAAGGGGGTTTTTCATTGTTGGGAACGCTGTTTGGTTTTGAGAGAGATAAATGTGAGGTGAAAATAATTTTGTACACCTATTATTTATTTACAATCTCTTACTTTTTAGATTTTTTTACCAATCCACCGTAACAAGATTAGTTTGTTGTTTTGATAAGTTTCACTTTTCTTCTTTTTTTCATTAAAGCTTGATTTTTGAACAAATTTTTATCTTTTTTTTTTTACTTTTTTTTAAAAACTATGTAATAACAACTTGCTGAAAGTTACATAAACATAAAAAAATAGAAACTTCTTTTATTTACTTAGTAAATTAAAATAATAACCAACATACATGAAGAAAATCTTTTTTTATCTTTACTTTGTGACTAATACTTACATTACAATTATTATACAGTATATATACATTATATTTTTAATTAATTTTTTTTATTTAGATATAAAAGTACTTGTATATATATTGTTAATAAATTACAAAAATTAAGAAGACCAATAAGAGAATAGTTCTGAGTTTAATGGCGTCAACTCGACTTATTATATATGTTGAAACCTGTTTGTCAAATGTTCTGGTGACATAAGGCTTCAAACGATGGCCGTTCACTTTGAATTTATTTTTCCCATTCATGTGTTGTATTTCAATGGCACCATAATGGGTTACTTCAGTTATAACGTACGGTCCTGTCCAGCGTGACTTGAACTTTCCTGGAAATAATCTCAACCGACTATTGTATAACATAAAACTATCTCCAACTTTAAAGATTTTATGGCGAATGTGCTTGTCATGCCATTTTTTTGTCTTTTCTTTATACAATTTAACATTTTCATATGCTGTAAGTCTAAACTCTTCCAACTCATCAAGCTGCAATAGACGATTTTTTTCTGCATCTGGCAAGTTTAAATTTAATAATTTTATAGCCCAATATACTTTATGTTTTAACTCTACAGGTAAATGACAAGATTTTCCAAAAAATAGTCTATAAGGAGATGCCTATCGAAATTTTGAAAGCAGTTCTGTAAGCCCACAAAGCGTCATCTAATTTTAGAGACAAGTTTTTTCGGAAAGAGCCAACTGTTTTTTCTAAATTTCTTTTTAATTCTCTGTTGAGTACTTCTACTTGTCCGCTTGTTTGAGCATGATATGAAGTTCCTGTTTTATGAGTAACTACATACCTTGACAACAAACTAGCAAATTGTCTATTTATAAAATGAGTTCCTTGATCACTTATGATAACTCGTGGAGTTTCAAATCTAAAAAAGATATTTTTCTTGAGAATATAACAAACAACTCGAGCATCATTATTTTTAGTAGCAATTGCTTCTACCCATTTTGAGACATAATCAATAGCTACTAAAATATATTCGCAATCACTTGAAGGAGGAAAATGACTTATGAAGTCAATGCACCAAACATCAAATATTTCACACACAACGATAGAGTTAAGAGGTATCTCATCCCTTTTTGAAATGTTGCCGGTTCTTTGACATTTGTCACAAACGGCAACAAAATTTCTTGCATCTTTGAACAAAGTATGCCAGAGATAACCAACTTCAAGTACTTTAGCTGACGTCCTTCTTCCTCCGTAGTGTCCTCCTACAGCTCCATCATGGCAATAACTTAAAATATTATTCATTTATGTCTCAGGTATATCTCCTGATTATGTCATCTGCACAAAATTTAAACAAATAAGGATCTTCCCAGTAATAATGTCTTGCCTCTTTTTTAAGCTTTTTTCTTTGATCATAAAAAAAATCTTTTGGAATCCACCCTCCCGCTAAATAATTGGCAATATCAACAAACCAAGGAGATCTATTGACAACCTTTGCGACTGAAAAGATATGCTCATCAGAAAATTCCTCTTGGATATCTAGTATTTCAGTAGGAGGATTCTCTAAACGTGATAAATGATCAACTACCTAATTTTTTGAACCTTTTCTATATTTTATTTCAAAATTAAATTCTTGCAAAAGGAGTATCCATCTTAGCAATCTAGGTCTAGCGTCTTTCTTTGCTAATAGATACTTTAAGGTTACATGATCAGTGAACACTGTAATCTTCATTCCTATAAAATAAGAATAAAATTTGTCAAACGCAAATACTACTGCCAATAACTCCTTCTCGGTTGTTGCATAATTCACTTGAGATTCATTGATGGTTCTGTTAGCATAGTATATGGGTCTAAAGATCTTATTTTTCTTTTATCCCAATATCGCTCCTACTGCTATATCACTTGCATCATTTATGGCAGGCTATAATCTTGTATTTTAGTCGCTTATTTCACTCTAATTTACTGTACTTTAATTGAGTTGGTGTAACGACCCGGTCGATCGTTTTGAGTATTATAATCCCGTTTTCTCATTTACTTCTCAATTTATGCTTTACAATTATTTTATGACTTATCGGGTTAATTGGTTCGGGACCGGTGAGGTTTTAGAATGAATTGGAACACTTAGTTCCAAGGTTTAAAGCTTAAGTTAAAATAGTGATCGGATATCGACTTATATGTAAACGACCCCGGAATAGAATTTTGATGATTTCAATAACTCCGTATGGTGATTTTGGACTAAGGAGCATGTTCGGAAAATTATTTGGAAGTCCGTAGTGGAATTAGGCTTGAAATGGCGAAAGTTGAATTTTTGGGAAGTTTGAACGGGGGGTTGACTTTTTGATATCGGGGTCGAAATCCCGTTCTGAAAACTTTAGTAGGTCCGTTATACCATTTATGACTTGTGTGTAAAATTTGAGGTTAATCGGACTTGATTTGGTAGGTTCCGGCGTCGTTTGTGGAAACTTGAAATTTCAAAGTTCATTAGGCTTGAATTGGGGTATGATTCGTGGTTTTAGCGTTGTTTGAGGTGATTTGAGGGTTCAACTAAGTTTGTATGATATTTTTGGACTTGTTGGTATGTTTGGTTGAGGTCCCGGGGGCCTCGGGTGAGTTTCGGATGGTTAACGGATCAAATTCGGACTTAAAACCAATGCTGGAATTTTTGCTTCTGGTATTTTCGCACCTGCGGAGGTTTAATCGCAGGTGCGAAGCCGCATGTTCGCACCAGCCATCGCAGAAGCGGAGCGAGCCTCGCAAATGCGAGCCCGCAGAAGCGGCTCCTAGCTCCCAGAAGCGGTTCCAGTGGAGGCTTGGCGAAACCGCAGAAGCGGTTGAATTCTCGCACCTGCGAGACCGCAGAAGCGGCTAAGTGAGTCGCAGGTGCGGAACCCCTGGACAGTATACATTTCGAAGGGGTTCCGAGTTTTGCCATTTTTGGACCTTCAAGCACGATTTTTGGGACGATTTTCAGAGAGAATTCAAGGAAAACTTGAGGTAAGTCACTTGTGATTATTTCTACTCCATAATATTGAATTATCATCGAATAATCCGACTAGATTATATGTTTTTGAGGTCTAAATCGGGGATTTGAACTTAGGGATTTAGAAATAAGATTTGATGATTTGGAGGTCGAGTTGATGTCGGATTTTGGTAAAATTGGTATGGTTAGACTCGTAGTTGAATGAGCTTTCAGATTTTGTAACTTTTGCAGGGTTTTGAGACGTGGGTCCAGCGGGCGATTTTTGAGCTAAATTTCGGATTTTGTTGAAAAATTAATATTTTCTTATGGAATTAATTTCAATAAATTTTATTGACTGAATCGAATTAATTGTGGCTTGATTCGAGGTATTTGGAGGCCAATTCACGAGGCAAAGGCATAGCGGAGTAAAGAATTACACGGTTTGAGGTAAGTAACACTTCTAAACTTGGTTCTGAGGGTACGAATCCTCGAAATTTGTTATGATATAAATTGTTTGGAGGTGACACACACGCTAGGTGACGAGCATGTAGACGTGCACTATAGAAATTGTGTCTTGAATAAATCCTGTGCAGTTGTAAAATTAATGAATCATGTTATTATTTGACCGTGTTCCACGTGTGAGAGAAATTGAGCCGAGGCTCTTATTAAATATCGTGTTTAGGCTATGTGCCAATATTTTTGACCCATAGGGTCGTGTTGCTGTTGAATTAATTATTTTAAAATTATACATTTCATACTCAGTCATAGTCGTCCATTGTGAGGATATTTATGGGATCAAGCTGCGCGTTGTAGCATGACATATTGGCTTTATATATGTTATCATTAAATGGATCGGGGCTGCCCGCCTGCAGCAGGCCAGAATGGCTTTATACATTATTATTATTGGATCGGGGCTGCCCGCCTGCAACAGGCCTTATAGGCTTTACTATTTTATGGATCGGGGATGCTCGCCTGCAGCAGGCCTTATAGGCTTTATTATTATACGGATCGGGATTGTCCGCCTGCAGTAGGCCATAAAGGCTTTATATCACGCTTGGGCTGAAGGAGCCCCTCCGGAGTCTGTACACATCCCCAGTGAGCGTAGATGATTATATATATTCGGGATGGGTTTCCTAGGGCATGAACTTGCCTTACTTATTTATATTGTAATGAATTTACTTGGACATGGATCTTGTCTGTATCATTTACATTTGGGGATAAATTACCCCAGGGCTGGATTGGCCTTATACGGTACTGAGTGACTGACTGTCAGTCGATGTGTATTTATATACGGGTTGGAACACCCCTGGGCTGGATTGGCCATAAACAGTACCGAGTGACCGAATAATTGGTGACCAGTATTTACTTGAGGTCTTTCTACTGAGATGTCATGTTCCTCATACCATGCAGTATTGATCTATTTCGCTTGTACTGAGTTTTACAGTTGAACTTGAAAGCATGCCTACATTTCTGTATCATTATTTATACTGGGTTGTACCTGTGGAGTTCGTCACTACTTTCAGCCCAGAGGTTAGTCTTGTTACTTATTGAGTTAGTTGTACTCATACTACACTCTGCACCTCGTGTGCAGATCCAGGTGCTCCCGGATATGACGACTGCTAGAATTCGGAGTTATTTCTGTTGGAGACTATCAAGGTAGCTGCTTGACGACCGCAGACTTGATTCCCTTCCTGTTTAGTTATTGTACTGTTCTATATTTCAGACAATGATTTTTATCAGTCAGACTTTGTATTCATTT